CACCAGTCACGAGTGTTAAAAGTTCGGCAATACTGAGGGAATTCCCGGGAGGCGGGAGGGGGCGGGCCAGGGTGTGTGGAGTAGGTTTCCTCGCTGTCACGTGTGTTTGTGTGTGTGTGTGAGTGGTGCCACTAACCACGTGACCCAGTATTTATGGGACGACACAGCATACTTTAACAGCTCAACTTTAACATCTGACACAGAAAAATGAAACCGTGACCTACTTTGACCTACGTAGTCCTTGACCTCTCAGCATGAGCTTGACCTTCACTGTCTCGTGCACTAAGTGCTGATAAAATCTTCACGTGCATAACTGTAACATAACTTAACTTCAAACTGCATTTTGTTCCCAGGGGTGTTTGTTCATCTTTGCAGTGCACGTGACATGATGTGCACCGTCACTCACGCTGGCCAAAAGACTACATACAACATCTCAGACCTGTCCCCTGATATGCGAAACGAGGCTTCCCGCTGCATGTTTACGTGGTCCAATGCAACCGTAAGTGTGATAGACCAGAGCAGTTTGATCTGTCCAAGATAAGCAGCTATGACACATCAAGACGTGTGCAGTGAGAAGGCATTCGGATCTATTATGACTTACTTACAGTGTGATAGTCTGGCTTGTTTTAATATAATGTGGTTGAATTGTTTTCTTAATTATTTCTTTAAATTCCATGACTTTAGGATTTTGTGATCGCACACCACCGGGGCCTGTTCCTGCAGCCCGTGATGAGCAGCAGCTTCGGCACACTAATCACCTCCAAATGCATCGGCAACGTTAGCTTCAAAGCCACTTGCGTGATAAAGGTATGACTCTTTAAAAATGTTATGAACTAATTAAGTCATAAAAAAAAAAACGTTTAAAAATGCAAACATGTGAGGGAAGAGATTATCTGAGTTATGTTAAGCACTGTGGGGGGAACAGTGTGTTCATAGGAGGGGTTTAATCTGGAAATGATGAGATGAATATACTGTGAAAATGTCTGTGTGGGTTCTCAGTCATCCAGGTCGTGGTTGTCTGTGGAGCTCGGAAAGAAAGCGAGTGGACGTCTTTGAGTTTAAAGAACTTAAAGACGTTCACTCGCTTTCTATGCTGTGAAAACAACCTTTAATCACAATCACTGTGTCTTTGTTCTCCATAGCAAAGAGCATATGATTACACAGCCAGCTGCACCCGTGAGTATCACCGTGCTAAATTTAATTAAATTACATTTTTGTCTTTATTTGTTCAGCCCGTGTTAGAGTTTCTGTGTTCATTCATAAGTCTAATGTGATTTTCTGATGTTGTTTTACAGCCGTCTGCCCCCCAGAAGCTCTGATTGATGACACAGGTAGGCATCTGATACACAGGTAGCGTGCTCAGGCCTCAGGTGCCTCGCTGTGGCTCATGTTAGCAGAGAACTGATCTTCAGCACCAGTTAGTGAGGAGGTCAAACTTTGATAAACTAGTGCTAAA